TATCTTCCTTGAAGGGTTACCTTTCCTTCACCCCTGACAGGAATCGCCTCCAGAGGCTGAGGGCTTGTGCGCCTTTTCCAATTGCTTTGTCAATGCCCCCTTCCCTGGAAAGGGATCCCAGCTGCTTGGCTTCCCTACCCTCCAATTCCAGGCTACTGGCCCCGTTATCCCAGCACCGGAGCAGCCAGGTGACAATGTGCTCGCCTGGACGACAGCTGAAATCTTTTCGCATGTTTCACAGCTCACTCGGGGCCAGGGATTGGGTGGTTACTGCCTCATTTATGAGTTCTGCCTCTTCCTCCTCCTGTTCTTGTGATGGCCCTGTTTTAGAGTAGTCTGCCTCGTCCACTTCTTCCCTTAGTAGGGGAAGAGTTTCTTCCCTTACTAAACAAGCTGACTTTTGCTTCTAAGATTTCTTCTTTTGTATGGGGGCGACAGATACCAGCATGGGTTGGTTCTCTGGTTCAGCTGCAGTGCCTGCCGCTGGGGTTGGAATAGCCACAGTATTCTTAAATAGTTTTTTAACCCTAAGCAAGACCTGACACACATTCAGAGACATAGCAATAGGAACATGCTAGTTTGAACATCCCAAAGATATGCAAAATTCTCAGGAGCTATTGTAATTAGCCTGGAGGAGAAGGGGGAGGTGGAGGAAGATGTCTCCCTCATAGGTTGGCTCTCCGAGAAGAAAAAGTAAAAAGTGTAATTATTAATAATTTCCAGTAGATGGCTCCCAAAGTACAGAGGTGACAGCAGTGCTGAGTTCAAATACCAGATTGGTCTCACGTCCAATAATTTTATCATACCATAAGCCAGTGTTACACAGTACAGCAAAGCGATAACCTTAGTCCACCTGCCAGAGGTGATAAACAGCAGATAAATACTGATAAACAGTATATATGACAAATAAGGTGTTACGTAACACAACTCTGTGAACAAATACAACAACTCTGAGAGCAAATAAATCAACGTTGTGACCAGCGACTACTAAACTACTATAATGAATGCTTATAACAAATTTGTTTTAACACGCTCTGGTCAGATCTGTCGTTATCTCAACCCTTCATGCCCCATGTTGGACGCCAAAAAGAACTGTCGTGGTTTAACCCCAGTCAGCAACTAAGTACCACACAGCCGCTCACTCACCCTCCCCTCCCCCCGTTGGGATGGGGGAGGGAATCGGGAAAAAAAAAGTAAAACCTATGGGTTGACATAAAGATAGTTTAATAGGACAGCAAAGGAAGAGAAAATAATAATAATGACAAAAGAATATACAAAACAAGTGTTGCACGATGCAATTGCTCACCACCCGCTGACCGATGCCCAGCCCACTCCCAAGCAGCGATCCCTGCCCCCCGGCCAACTCCCCCCAGTTTATGTACTGAGCATGATGTCACATGGTATGGAATGTCCCAGTTTGGGTCAGCTGTCCTGTGTCCTGTGGCTGTGCCCCCTCCCAGCTTCTCGTGCACCTGGCAGAGCATGGGAAGCTGAAGAGTCCTTGACTAGTGTAAGCACTACTTAGCAACAACTAAAACATCGGTGTGTTATCAACATTGTTCTCATCCTAAATCCAAAACACAGCACTATGGCAGCTACTAGGAAGAAAATAAACTCTATCCCAGCCAAAAGCAGGACATTCCTTTAGGTCCTAGCCCAGCGCTTGGGATAGATTTGCTATGTATTGTTTCCTTCTTTTCTGGCTCTTGGGTTGCATGCCTGTCTAACTATTTCTTCTTGAAAATAGAGCATTTTGGTTTCAGACTCTCCCTTTCTCTTCCAGGTGTTATTTTTGCACCTTACGGCCCTGTCTGGAAGCAACAGAGGAAATTCTCTCTCTCAACACTGCGTCATTTTGGAGTAGGAAGACACAGCTTAGAGCCTAAAATCATTGAGGAGCTGAAGTTTATAAAGGAGGAAATGCTGAAGCATGGAAAGGATTCATTTAATCCCTTTCCGATCATTCGCAATGCAGTGTCCAATGTTATCTGTACTATGGCCTTTGGCAGGCGTTTTAACTATGAAGATGTTGAGTTCAAGACAATGCTGAAGAATATGGCCCGCGCACTAGAGCTAAGCGTGAACAGCTATATGATCCTGGTCAATATCTGCCCTTGGCTGTACTACCTTCCCTTCGGGCCTTTCCGGGAACTTAGGAAAACAGAATTAGATATTACTGCTTTTCTAAAGAAAATAATTGCACAGCACAGGGATACACTGGATGCAGCAAATCCCAGGGACTTCATTGATATGTACTTAATCCATGCGGAAGAAGAAAAAAACAAGGAGAGCAGTTTTAATGAAGACTACCTATTTTTTATCATTGGTGACCTCTTCATCGCAGGCACAGACACTACTTCCAACACATTACTGTGGTGCCTGCTCTACATGTCTCTCTACCTAGAAGTACAAGGTAAGACTATTTTTATTCTAGGTGTTTTATTCCAAACTGGAAAGCTCTAGATGGATGTTCAGAAACAGAAGCAAACAGTGACAGTAGAGAAGTCATTTGGAGTGCAAATAGTACATGTGTATGTGTGATTTGAAAGGTTGATATGTAATTGATCGTCTTCTATCCTGCTCTGCTATGATGATCTCTAGGTTAGTGCTATATATTAACTATCTAAATGGCCCTTTAGTTTATGCATTTCTTCTGTTTTGGGACAACTTTATCTTTCCCAAGCAATTCCAGGGAACCTTAGCAAGTTTCAAAAGCTTTGACAATTGTGGCATTCCAGGCCTATAGCAGTGGTATAAGATATGTGAGATACGTACTGGTAAGCTCTGCTTTTATGCCTCCCTGAGCAAGTAGGTTCTGGAGCCTAGCGGCAGAGTCTGGGGAAGTAAAACACTACCTACTGTACCAGAAGATCAAATTAGAGACAGCTTGAGCAAATTGGACTTACACAAGTCCAGGGTGCCAGCTGGTCAGTGTCATTGCAAGGCCTCTCCCCGTCAGTCTTGAACGGTCATGGCAGTTGGGTAGGTTGCTGATTACAGGGGCGGGGGAAAAGGCACATGGAGCACGTGGCCCCAGAGGAGAGGCAGAAGGAACGCTAACAGTGTTAGGGAAAGACGACTGAGGGGAGACCTTAGGCTGTCTACAACTACCTGATCGGAAGATGCTAAGAAGATGGAGGCAGTCTCCTCTGAGATGTGCAGTGGAGGGAAGAGAAGCAGCAGAGAGTCTGCAACAAGAAAATTCTGATCAGATACCAGGAAAAAAAATTGACCTATGAAGATAGCAAGGAGTGCAACAGTTTGCCCCAAGAATTAACAGAATCTCCGACTTTGGAAGTATTCAAAACTCAGTGGGGTATGACCCTGACTAGTCTGATCTACCCTCAGAGTTGGATCTAACTTGGAAGATGATTTTGCTTTCAGTAAGGGTTTAGATCAGATGACCTCCAAGGGTTCCTTGCAACCCAAATTATTTGATGGTGCTATGATCTGATTACTGTTTGTGACAGAGTTCTAGAAAATGACTTGTAGATTTTTGTGGATATAAAAAACACCAATGGTGTTAGAGAGGTTACAATATTAAAATAGTACTTGCTAGAGTTGTCTTTCAGGACTTCTTAGGATAAATTTCCATCACCAAAGACTTAAAATTAATTTTGGTTAAATATTTTTCTATACTGAGTCTTGTTACAGTACATGGGGTTGCAAAGCCAATGTTTTCTTTAGTACCATTTAGCAAATTTAGATGGTTGAATTTAAGAAAAATAAAGCAATTGATTTATTAATTTATTAGCAGCTTCTCCTAAAGTCCTACATAGCAACTGATTTCCACTAGAAGGATTGTTGGGTATACGCGGACTGGAAACCTTGGCAGGATGGACAATTCTACTTAGGTAATTCTACCTCAGTTTATAGTAATGAAACATTTCCCCGAGAGACCACTGCTTTGCCCAGACTTCTTGCTAACCTGGAGTGAAGAAGGGTAAACCTCAAGTTATCTAAGAACAATATAAACCTGGAATACTTTTATCAGGTATTTGAGATTTTGAGGTTTTCATGTGCTGCAGCTGCTTTGCAAATAAGCAAATAGATACTTGTTTACAGGACCTATCTGTCTGGAATAATCTCTTTAAATAGGTCAAGATCATAGTTTATTGCACAAAGTCAACCACATTGTTGAGCAAAGATTGCAAAATAAGGCATCAGTTCAGTATGGGAGAGAGAATCCACTGGGGACAAATGTAAAATAAATTTTATTGCATAGCCTTATTCTTCTATTTTTAATGGTTGTGTGTTATCACTGCTTGACTTGATACGCAGTTACATGAATTAGATATGTTCTAAATTACACAAATGAGATCTAGAAGAGTTTTGTGTTTGGTTTTTTTTAACCCCTTTCCCTACTGCCTGGTACTGTACGTGTATACGCTAGTCAGTTTTCTCTCTTCTGCCCATCTCTAACAGTTTTATTGCCTCTCTCTGATTTCACCTTTCCTTATGCTATGGCTGTTGTCAAACAATATAAATAAGCTCAGTAGTCCAGAGTGTATCACTTAGCTGTGTAATGTGATTCTCTTACTTCTAATATCCCGTTCCTTATGTATCCTGATTGCCTGGGAGTTATGTATGGGCCTCTTTTTTTTTTTCCTGGTAGGATGTTTCTCTTATCCCCTAAAGGAAATACCTGGATTGCATAACTTTTAGCAGTAGCAAATGTTGCAGACATGGAAAGGCAAATGAAGGGCTATCGGGGGGAAAATCAGAAAGAATGTATTTGTCTGTGGAAGCCAGTTTTGCTTTTTACATGGAAAAAGAGAAGGGTGGGTATGCACGTGTGTGTGCGTGCGTGCATGTAGGGAGGCAGTGGGGAGTATTTGGTTTGGTCTGCTCCCTGACTTGGTTTTGGTCCTTGACTTCTGAAGATCTGTGAGATTTTTAAATATATGAAATGTAGTGAAGCAGTTCAAATAACATGCTGTTAGCGGAGAACTCCTGAAGTCTACGTTTTTGCAGTTGGTAATGTGAGCAGCAGTTTGGCTGCTTTCTGTGTAGTTCCACATATCTTTACAAACTCCGGAGAAACGTGGTTCAGGATAAAATGGTGATGTGACATTTAGCATGAGACAGTCTCCTTAATTTTTTTTTTTTTAATATTGAAAACTTTACTTGTTTAAATTACTGTGGACGTGCATACCTGAATACAGGGCTATAATGTGTCATTAAAAAAAGTAGCAAAACCCCACAAAGCAGGTACTCGAGAGCCCCAACATTAGCAAATCCCTTACTGTCGAGGTATTTTTTACCGTGTGTTCCTCATACGAGAACTTGTTTCCCTAGCGAACCCAGTAGGTGGCAGCAACTGTTTGTTCAACGCGGTTCAAACGGTATTTCTAAATGCTTCTCTGAAAACAGAGAAACTTTTTTGCATTGAGCTTTTATTTAATCTTGAATCAGTGCTAAGGAGAGAAAAGAGCAAAAACTCGAGAGTATCAGAAGCCTGGATTCTGAATCTTGGAAAATGCAAGCAGGACAACTACAAAATATTCAGGATATCAAGGGTGAAAAAGGAAAACTGACTTTTATTATTTTTGATTAAAGGTTAATTTTGAGGTCTCCTCTTTCAAGATTGTCTTTTGCTGTGTAGCCAGATTCCAGGTTACCTGGAGGAAAAGGCGCATCATCCTGTACGTGGGTGAAGCAAATCTTGCATCTTGGAAACTTCTGTGAAGAGAATTACTTGTATGCTGAGCCTTTAGTGAGATGAAAGGGGCAAATATTTTGACACTTTGTGCCTCACGTGAATGAGAGGGGAGATAAGCTCGTTAACTTCTGTTTTTCCTTTGCAGAAGGGCTGTGTGGGGGAAGGAGCATCTGCTGCTGCCTTTTGGGGGAACTGGGAAATAGCTGTTTAGGTTCTGTGAATAGAAAGTAGGAAACAGCAAGAACAAGTTAAATGGCTTCAATGCTTGCAGTAACAGCACCAGAATTCCAGCCCCAGAATGAATTATCTAAAGCGGCTGCATAAAAAGCTTCCCCATTCCTTCACCACCTTTCCCAGTTCTGAGAACTGGATCTCCCCAGGGAGAGAGGCCAGCTCAGGCATGCACTGTGCCTGAGACTGCAGTCTCTTTTTGTTCATTATTTTAATGCAGGCCAGAAGCTTGATGTTTTCACCGTTCAAATTACTGTATAGTTAAACTCTTAAACTAAGATTATGAATACGTTTGGAACTGGAACAGAACTTTTCCTATACTTTTCCAATACAGAAGTGCTAGCAATGTCTGTCATCTCAGTAGCTTCACTCTTGACAGTTGTCAGGATTGCGCTTGGTTGTTTTGTTCTTAACTGAGTCCGTTCTTAAGGCTTTTGTTGGCGTAGTTATTTCAGCTAGGGATTACATGCCGTGTAGTCATTTTTGACAAATCTATGTAAACAATGAAGCATAGGCAAATGAAATTGAGATGATGTCTTCTCACATATTGTGCATCTTTTTTTATTTTTTTATTTTATTTTTCTTCTTTGAATAGAGAAGGTTCATGCAGAAATTGAAGCAGTTCTAGGACGTGACAAAGTTCCCTCTCTTACCCACAAGGCTCAAATGCCCTTCACAGAGGCAACCATTATGGAAGTGCAGAGAATGACTGCGGTTGTTCCCCTTTCTATTCCTCGAATGGCCTCAGAAACTGCTGGTAAGCATTTGTAGAGACTTGTTAATACAGTGTTTCTTTTGTGGATGAAGAGCTGATGGGACATCTAGTGAGAATTTACAAAGACCTCATTTATGTATTAGACATGTAATCCAAGTATAAAATGCCGTTTATAGAGAGTAGGTGGGCTTGAGATACTCCTCTGTTTAAGCAGCATGTCTGATCTAACATCCAGCAGTTTTCTAATTTAGAGCGATTTCTTTTCTGGGGGTCAGCTTGTGTTGACTGATGTGCTTAGTGGTAGTTGGCAGCTGAGACTCCACCTTTGTACCTGAAACGGCAGAGTTGGTTTTGGCCATCTGACACAGAGGTCTGAAAACATCAATTCGGAGCAATTGGTTTGCTAAAGCTTGAAAGGCTTATACCATTGAGCTCCGCATCTACAGAAAACAATAATAAATATCCTTTTTGAAGTCATCTTGTTGGCTATATGTTTTCATAAACATAGCTGAACACTGGCTAAAGTGAGTGGGAGGTAGCAATACTTGGTTTTCTAACCCAGTACTGAATTGATCTGCTTTTTTAAGTGTTTTGGCTTGCAGGACAGTGAGGTGCAACAAGCTGAAATGAGACTAGCCAGTTCAAACCCCTTTGGTGATAACAGTTCAAAACCCGTCCCTCTTCCTTACCTCCACCTTCACTGCGGTGGGGCTCTGTGACAGCACAGGAACAGGAGGAAATCGGGTCACAGCACTTCCATGCAGCAGAGTGCGTTTCTAACGATTGCTGCTGCCTTTTCCCCGCAGGGAGCTGTTGGTGTAACTTCTTGTCTTTCCAGCTGCTCTGGCCTGTGTGATTCTGACCCAGGCAGGCTAGCAGAGATCACCTTTGCCTTAAGCTCCTGCTACGTTTGCAGCCCGCAGTTAGGGATCTGTATCATTTTTGTGACATCTTCTAGTCATCTTTTTAATAAGTGTAAGTCTCCCGCGTTTACTTCTAGCAACTTGTCAGATCCACTGTCTCTGTGCTTTTGTTTAAAGTGCTGCAGGGATATACTATTCCGAAGGGCAGTGTGATCGTGCCCAACTTGTGGTCAGTACACAGAGATCCTAATGTTTGGGAGAAACCAGATGAATTTCAACCATCAAGATTTCTGGACGAAAATGGCCAGCTAATTAAGAAAGAGGCATTCATTCCTTTTGGAATGGGTAAGCTATCCACATGCAGTCAGTAGCTGGTTGGGGATGGTGGTGGTGTGTCAAGTGTAGGGCCTTGGAGGCGTGAGATGTTGCACATAGGACCAACTACAGAATTTGTTTTATTATTACAGTTGGTGGCTTGCAAAATGGGTTGGGGTCCTAAAAGCTCCAGTTGCCAGGCAGAAATGAGAAATGATGAATTGTTCTTTGATAATACTTTTGCGATGGATGTAAATGCTGTGAAGCGTTTACTGCTATGAAGCAGTACAGCTGAGCAAGGCTTAGACTCAAATGCAGGAGACATAAGCTTCAGAGTTCATAGCTTCATAGTAGCTTGAGCCTTTCCGTGTTTGGACTATGCTAGCATAGGAACTGCATGTATGTTAACAAATGGATCAACAGTATAAAAACAGTAACATGTCTCTTCTAACTGTTCTTTAGGTAAACGTGTGTGCATGGGAGAGCAGTTGGCAAAAATGGAGCTGTTCTTAATTTTTGCAAGTCTAATGCAAAGTTTTACCTTTTTGTATCCTGAAAATGCTGCAAAACCATCTATGGAGGGAAGGTTTGGTCTAACTTTAGCTCCATGTCCATTCAATATAATAGCTTTGAAGAAATGATATAACATCAAAAAAGATTAAACAAAGAAACACTGCACTTTTAAAATCCAGCTTTATTTTGTTTCCAGCTTATTTTGTTACTTTCTTTCCAGAAAAACACCAACTGCATAGGCTTTCATATTCAGTGAGAATGATCCGTTTACACTTCTGGAAGGAGAAGATTTTTTTGTCAGCTGTTGCATTCCACAAATGAACTGACAGCATAGTTTGCAATGTGATATTACAACTTGCTGGGCTTAACCCCTTTGTCTATAAGCTATTACTGTCAGTTTGTCAATTATTAATTATGGGAGAATGGTCCAAAACATCCATTAATGCTTTAGCAAATAGTAATTGTTATTTTGGTAAAAGCAGTACGTAAACATTTAATTTACCAAATGAGTGGAGGACATCATCTAAAACGAAAAGGATTAATGAACGAGAGGGTATTAGCATTTTCTGTGTAAAGAAACGTTATAACTGAGCTTAAATAATGACAAATACTTTTTGGAAATGACTAAATGACACTTCTTTTAACCTTGGAGGATTCTTTCTTGCAAGTAACTCATAGATGTAGATTGGATCGAATCAGTCTGGATTCCTGGATCCAAACATTCTTGACTATCAGGGCTCACCATAAACAAGCAGGTACCAACTCTGAAAACCCAGGCGTGGAGGCCAAATGAATCCTGGAATATACCATGTTCTTAACATGAAAGGAGTGTGCAGCGTCTGGATGCAGATGTTTTATCTCAGAATATAAATGAGAGCAGATTTCTCTAACAAGAAACAGAAGTCTGTTCTCTCTGGTGCCAAGCAGATATTCAAGACATCTGTGCTGCCACCTCACATTTGCTGTTTTCCCCACGTCAGCAGTGGCTGCAGTCTGGACGAGACCAACAGCCCGCTCATTGGGGAGAACTCTACGTGCATGATCCTGAAGTTGGTGCTTGCACTCAGGTTTTTCATTTACAGGCAGTGTGGACAGTACTGCCACAACCTGTTTGGCTTTGGGAACTGGAGTCTTACTTCAAATATGGCATCAATACGGCACTACAGATGCAGGTCTTATACATTTAGGCATGGAATATGAGGAATCTGACAAACTTGAGGTTTGAGTATAAAGGCTTTCTTTTTGTTATCTTCCATATGGAGTAAAAAGATCTGTAGTTCATACAATATTAGTGTATCAGTACCTTACTCTTTTCATATGCAAAATTTTAGTGCTGTTTACCACTATCAAACCAATTGCCAAGGAAACCTGTTGGTAGGTGTTTGGGAAGGGGGCACTCAGTCTTGCCTTTCGTTTGAAAGATCTCTCAAGCATCGAAAGTGATCTTTTGGGGGACATGTAACAATTAACCTTTAAATAATTGTTCTTAATCATCTTTATACACCTTTTGATCTAGCAGAACTTCATATCAGATGAAATAAGTACATGTGTACTCTTTTAAGGAATTTCCCCCTTCCCCCCCCCCAGAGATCAAGAAAATACTAGTGGTCCTCCTCATGTCAAGTTTACAAGACTGGAATGTGAAACTGACTGTAAAGTGGAATTGGGTATTCCACAGCAGAAACTAAACCTAAATTGTAAAATAGAGTCAACTCTTCAGCTTTAAATCAACCTCTGTTTTTGTCACTTTTTAACTTGAAGTTTTAGAAGCCAGGTAGTGCCTAGCAAGGACTGTAAGATAGTTATTTTGGATTTAAATTAAGGTTTTCTGTTAGCTGTTTTGAATAGCAGTAAGAACTTCCAGTTCTTATATAGGCTAGCTTTTGACTTTATAGGTTAGCCCGTGCTTGTGTTAAATTTTTTCTTTGTATGAAATTTTTGAAAATCCCATAGCACAATAAAAGGTTGAGTTTGGTAGCAATGCTAGTAAACTTGCACTAAAAGCTGACAGTATTGGAGTAATAAGCACTTCTTTAACTTTATATTTTCCAATTAATAAATAGATTCTGTACAGTTGGGATTTTTGTCTGGAAATCCTTAAAATGGTATATGCTTAATTGCAAAGCTAAAATTAAGTGCTGATAATATTTATCTTTCTGTTGATGTGCCTCTTTAAGCAATGTAATGATGTTGGTGTGCAACTGATTGCTTATATAGAATACGTGTCCTTTTAATCGATGAGGACACATTTGAAAAGCACTTTATTTTTTTTTTTACAGATTCCAAAGAAGGCACAATTCGCATAATCCCCTAGTATGTGGAATTGTACATATTTGTGCTCATTTTGCCTGCTGGGTTTAGTTTAAAATGTCACCTTTGAAACCTATCCTTCGAAAGTTATCCTTCTACAAATAGTACTTTGAGATGCGGTTTTTGATGATACCTATAAGCAAATGCTGCATAGTGCGACAAGCTAAAAATACTGATGTGAAGATGCGACCATGTCAATGTCTGCCAGAATGCAAGATGCTGTTGGAAATGACAATAAAGACCTGCCTTTCATGCCTTCCAGATGCACTGAAATTTTCATAGGATGCCATGAAAGTAGCTAAACAATAGCATAATAAGAAGAAAAATGTATGTTTATATAAGTGGATGGCTATTTCTGAATGCTGAAAATGTCTTTGCTTCTAAAAAGGACTTCAGACTTTGCTTCAGTGTAATTTTTTTTTTAATAAAGTAATTCCCAAGTGTTTTACGGCTTTGCATAGTCATTTTAATGAGTTCCACTTTTTGACTAAGCTTGTGGTGTTTGGTGTTTTACATCTTACAAAGAAAGCTTTTGAGTGAGAAGATGTTACAAAATGTTTTGGATGAGGAGTGCAGGTGGTGAGGAAATTGGGAAAATACAATGCCAGGCATGTTATGAGCAAATGATAGAAAGAGTATGTCTGCTCATTCTCTCAGTGCAGTCTTAAAAACACTGTTACTCGGAATAAAAGGAGGAGAGAGAAGAGTAGAGATGAGGAAGATAAAAAGGCGAGTGAGTTGCCACCAGGAGGAGATGCACAGTCTGAGGAACGAGGTGGGAAAGAAAACCACGGGCAGAGCGGAGGTGTAGTTTTGTTGGACTCCCGGCATAGAGGGGTCAGAGAGCGGAGGGCAGAGAGGGAAAGGGGTGCCCAGGGACAGCCTGGGGTGGGGGGCGGAGAGCGCGGGCCTCTGGCCCGGAGGGAGCCCAGGGAAGGGCAGGAGCTGCTTGCACACAGAAGGGGAGGGCCGAGCAGGAGACAACCGAAGCGCTTGGGCGGGGGAAGGGGTGGGTGTGGGCGCTGGCATGTACGGGGAGCTGGGCGCTCGGAGCAACAGCTGTGTGTGGAAATCCTGTGTCTTACACCCTGAAGTTAGGTTGCAGGTAACTTGGCACGGTGCTATTTTTTTAGGGAATGTCACTGGTTACCCGCTCAGCAGTCGTTTGTATACACACGGAACAGTAACTCTGGGTCTCTGTTTGGGTAAAGCTGTTTCCAGCAGCCACGTACTGCTCCTGACTCATCTGCCGTCAGAGGAGGCCGAGTGAGGAAAGGGAGTTTTTTGCATTGCGCGTTTGGTACAAAGTGCAGAAATAGGAGAATACTCCGCTACTTTTGTTTGAAGAAAACAAGTTGCTTAATGTTTACCCCGATGCTGACTCAAGTAGAATACACTGTAATTGCAGTGTTGTCAGCTGCCGCTGTTGCTGACTTGAAGTGCCGGTTGTTCTGGCAATAAAGGAATTAGATACAAAATTATGGCGGTCTGCATCTGATATAATTCAGCCATTAGTATTTATAAAGAAAGGATTTAATTTTTTTTTTTTGTTTACTATATAGTTTGTGCTAGCCTGAAAAAGAAATCCCCTTCTAGTTTGGAAATACTCTCATTGCGGAGTGCTTCTAACGTTGAGAAAATGAGCTGCTGCACAACAGAAGTGTGAACGTTTGGACGGGAATGCAGTGACCTCCCCTGCAAGGGGCAGGCATTGGGGCAGCCTCCGCATCAAGCCTGCCGTTGCCAAACGCCAGCCAGGGGCCAGCAGGGATTTTTAGCTGCGCGCGGCAGTATTTCTGTTGCGCTGACCTCGGTGTTGCTACTTGACTCCTCCTAAGGAATCAAAAGTAGCGAAGATCCAAAGCGCCTTTCCCCGCGGCGGGCAGCCGGGCCCGGGGCCCGG